ATCAAAAGGTTAGTTTTAAGCACATACTCTGTTTTTCTTGGATGACTGTATTTCAGGGTCAAATACTAGTTGATCCAAATACATGATGTCTACTTCTAAAGATTTTTATTTATTTATTTATTTATTTGTCAAAGAGACAGAGAGACAGAGAGCACAAGCAAGGGGAGTGACAGGCAGAGGGAGAGGGAGAAGCAGGGTCCCTGCTGAGCAAGGAGCCCGATGTAGGACTCGATCCCAGGACCCTGGGCTCATGACCTGAGCCGGAGGCAGATGCTTAACCATCTAAACCACCCAGGCATCCTGATGTCTACTTCTAATAACTTCAGAATAAAAGGGAGGAGGGATAAATGAATCCGGGTGTGTGTGTATGGGAGTTCACTATACTATTTATTCTCTTAACTTTTGTACAGTTTTAAATTTTCCAAATGAAAGGTATTTTTTTAAAGGAGAGGAAAAAAAACAGCAAAAGAGTAAAAAAATCTTAAGAAACAAATCAAAATTTCCTTCTTCCCTACTATTCACTTATGAAACCTGCGATATTAACAGCATACTTTTTTTTCACTTAATTACTTCTTCATTCCCTTCCCACTTTTACTGTATATGTATCTAACACACAATTTACTTTTCAAAGCTGGTCTAAATTTTTCAGATTTGGGGTTTTTCTAAAACCTCAGCTACCAGAATGAGAAAGACAACGTACAGGGGATGGACTGGTCTGGGCACAGCCTTTATCCCTGGATAAAGACTCTTTCCTGGTCCTGTGTTTCTATTCTTATCAACAGAGTGAGAAGGAAATTTTGAGGTCTTCTCATTCCTCTTCCCTGTAGAAAAGATAGCCAACTACCTCCCCCCCCCCCCAACCCCGGCCCCTTCAGCTCTTTGGAATGAGATGCCTGTTGAGCAGAAGAGACCTCCTTCAACCTGAGAGACAGAAGAGGATGAGAAGCCCAGGAGAGGAAGAAAGGGGTAGGTAAAATGACATTGGCATTGCCAGTTCTCATTGGATATCGTCTCCATTCCCACTACCTGAGGGAGGAGTCTCTCAATCCTCAAAACAGATAAAAGGGAGCAAACATCAGCAAAAAGCTGAACACACTACTCCTCCATCCATGTTATATTTGCTGACTGGTCAGCTGATTTACTGAGTTTATCTTTTTCACAACATTTCAACCTGTTTTATATGTCCATAATGGCTTCTAAGCACTCCCTACTCCTTTTTTTTTTCAGTCCTGGATAAGTAAAAGGGAATGGGGAGGTAATAACAGAGCTCCAAGAAAATGAGATAAAGGGGGCTTTCTGAAATATTTCCCAAGTATACGTGCATACACACTAATTCCTGTGTCGAAAGAACAACACAAATAAACACATTTTGTAAAGGAAATGAGATGCTGATTGCCAGCTTTTTCCTTTTAAAGAAGAGTTTAATTTCTGTCTTGTAGTCAACTCACAACTCAGCAAATGTGTGTGGGAACAAATTTCCATTTACTTTATTTCCATGAACTTAAACCTGATGGTCAAAGGGACTCATGTACATTTCATCTCTGCTTGTGGTCAAGTACCAGGAGTTCCTGGGCAGTACTGGCCTAAGAGATTTCCCTGAGACAGAGCAAAGTAACTTAGCCAGAACCCTAAACCACCCGAAATAAATATCCAAACCAGCCGGCCTTCTGTCTTGTCTGCTTCAACACAAAAATGGATATCCTGAGGCCTAAAATCTACTTAAAGTAACAGTCACTACCCATTCAAAGGTAAATGAGTCGTTGGGACAAGAACTGCTGTTTGGGGATCAAGGCCGTTTCCTCCAGCTGTAAATTCTGATCAAATAATTAATGTTTAGGGTTAGCTAATATAGACAGAAAAGGACCTTATGATTTGAAATGCCTTTGTGGTTAAAGTTCTTTATTACCGTATAAAAGTATGATTCAATATCAAATTAACAGGAACATCCCTATAACTAGTTCAGCTTCCAACAATATACAGCGATCAAAGATGCAGAAAGAGACACTTTGTGATTGACTACAACCCACTGTGCTTGAAGGTACATCTGATTCTGATGGCAAGATTTCTCAACGTCAAAAGTTCCACCCGTGTAGATGGCAGAGCACATTGCTCACTGAATCACTCTGGTGTCCGGACTGAGTCGGGGGCTAGTAGATGCACTCCAATCCCTATGGGTGTCATTCAAAAAGAGGCCAAATCAATGAACCAGTTTTGCCTCCCAGGTACGAAAACAGTAAGATCAGGCGCTGGAACTCTGGGGTCATAAAATATCACTCTGAAATGACAACCTCAAGGTCTGGAAAGAATGATTCAAACCTCATCACTATGAAAATCAGATTTCCAAACTAAGAAAAATGGACCATTCTGATTTTGGAAAAGTCTTCCCTCTTCATAGGCCGGTCTGGGAGGGGTCAGCTTAACCTCAGAAAACCATCATTTTCAAAACACACACATTTTATATAAAGTAATAAAATGCCAAACAAGAATAAAGACTAACAGCGTGTTATGTGTAAAGTACATGGAAGTGACTTGATGAAAGGAGAGGAGAAGAAATTGACGCCTAAAGCAGGAAACTTGACAACAAAAGTCTATAGGTGCCACGCAGGTAACATAAATCTGTAAGGATGCTTGCATTAAATACTTCGGGAACGGTAAAGATTAGCAAACTTCAGTCCCTGGAATAGTAACAGGACCAGATTTTTAATCTTCCAAGAGAAGCCAGGTATCTTATTGTTCTGTGAAGTTTCCAGATTGTCCAATGTTGGCAATTAATCCAATTTTAAAAAGGAAAATGTTTACAGGTTAAAAGATTATAATCTAAAACTTGACCTACGGGCTGCTGTTTTGCAAGCTCTGCTCTAAAATGTAATTTTAAATAATGCAGTAATAAACAGAAAGCTTCTCACATAACTATGATTACATTAAATTATTGAGCCTTGGTTTCTGCTCTACCAAGTGGAACCAGTCCACGCAAGGAAAGGGTAGGAATGGTATCTGAAGATTTGGGATGTTTCCCAAATTACAGATGTCTAAATTATCGCCACCACCACCCCTGTGCCCCAGGGCAAATAAGAGTTTGAGTAGAGGACACATGGCTTGTGAGAGCCCCCAAGAACTCTACCGGTACACCCTCCGCTCTGGGCGTCACTGACCTCAAGAAAGTAGAAAGCTTTATATGACTGGGAGGAACGTGTCCAAATTGTGAAGACCAAAGTCACTGAGCCTAAGGTATCATATAGCCTATGTGAAGTGGCTCGGAAAATAATAACCACAAATAGCAAAGATGACAAGGAGCCCCCCCATAGTAAGCATTGTTGATACCATGTTAGTTATTTCAGTTTCTTGGGAAAAAAAGAAAATCAACTACTTGTTTTCTAAGAAAGACTATAAAAAATGGATGCATTTTGGGGCACCTGGGTGGCTCAGTTGTTAAGCGTCTGCCTTCGGCTCAGGTCATGATCCCAGCGTCCTGAGATCGAGCCCCGCATCGGGCTCCCTGCTCTGCGGGAAGCCTGCTTCTCCCTCTCCCACTCCCCCTGCTTGTGTTCCCTCTCTCGCTGTGTCTCTCTCTGTCAAATAAATACATAAAATCTTTAAAAAAATAAATTAATTAAAAAAATAAGATTTTATGTATTTATTTGAGAGAGAGAGAGAGAGCATGAGTTTGGGGGGGAGGGGCAGAGGAAGAGAGAGGGGCAGAGGGAGAGGGAGAAGCAGACTCCTCACTGAGCAGAGAGCCCAATGTAGGACTCGATCCCAGGACCCTGGGATCATTACCTGAGCCAAAGGCAGACGCTTAACTGACTGAGCCACCTAGACGCCTCAAATATACCAGCTTTTAAGGTTGGTAACAACATGTTAGCAACTCTATTTCATTATTATTATTCAGAATCTGTCTCCAAGGGAAGCATTTCATGAGTCAAGATACATAAATGAAGTGTCGTTTATGTTTATTTTAAACTTAATACTCATTTTTAAAGAGGAAATGTTAATATTTTGAAAAAGACATCAGTGAAATGCAATGTTGTAAGGACAAGTTTCCTTTTGATATATATTTTTTAAAGATTTATTTATTTAGAGAGAGAGAGAGTGCATGCAAGCAGCGGGTGGGGGGGAGAGGGAGAGAGAGAATCTCAAGCAGACACCCCGCTAATCAGGAGCTCCACAAGAAGCCTGATTCCACGACCCTGAGGTCATGACCTGAGCCAAAATCAAGAGGCTTAATCAGCTGAGCCACCCAAGCGCCCCCTCCTTTTGATATTTCAACAAAAAATAGCTTAATAGCCCCCTCTCTAAGCCTGTGGGATCCAATGGATTAAAGATGGAAGAGGCTGGCCTTAACTAAAATCAAAAACTTCTACTCTGTGGGGGCACCTGGGTGGCTCAGTCGTTAAGCGTCTGCCTTCAGCTCAGGTCATGATCCCAGCGTCCTGGGATCGAGCCCCACATCGGGCTCTCTGCTCTGCGGGAAGCCTGCTTCTCCCTCTCCCACTCCCCCTGCTTGTGTTCCCTCTCTTGCTGTGTCTCTCTCTGTCAAATAAATAAATAAAATCTTTTAAAAAAAAAATGGATGCATTTTAAGAATGTGTGTATGCATGCATGCATGTGCATATATGTATATAATGCAAGCAGGGTTAACATTTCATTTTGTAGGCTTATATCTGCAGCTTTATTACTCTAGAAGGGAAGGGCAGTGTCTTATTTCCCCATGATGTCAGACTGCAGATAGAAAAAGGTTAACAAATATTTTGGCAGGTTTTTCTACTTCCTATCCTAAAAAAAAAAAAAAAAAAAAAAATCTGGTAGAACTTTTTATCAGGATGCCTAAACATAACCAGGATTATAATATATCACTTTTTGGTCTGATATACACATAAAAGAATATATAAAGAAACACCTTCCTGTGACTTGGTAATGTCTCACTAATCTTTTGCTGTGTTATTAAGCACTGCCTAATCTAATCCTGTTTCTGATCTTAAGCTTGTGTTCTCCTAACTCACCTTGCAACCAGGAGTCAAAGTCTTCCAGGTCAGCGTTAAGGTAAAAGCTCTTCAAAGTGGTTTATCCCTCAGATGCCGGCAGCTTTCTCCCTGGGACTCAGTCTGTCTATTGACCCTACTGGGGTTATCTAGTCGATGACAGGTATAGATCCTTGATTTCTTTCTCGTGCTGTTTTGTGGCAAGGGGTAGAACTGAAAAAGAGAGATTACACTCATAATAGTACAACTCCACAGAACTTTCATGAGCTTCTCAGGGGACTGCGGATGACCAATCAGAAAATTCCTTCCAATATACCTTTTGAGGAGAAAGTTCATAAGGGATGGTGTCTCAGATTTTTACCTCCTTTGCCCAGTTTTATGGAATCTCAAAGATGTAGCCACTGTACTCGTCAGCCATCAGGTATCATGCTGAGCATAACATTCATACATTCATAATTATAACATTCATAATTGACATCTTACCCAGAGTCTGGAGTAGGAAAACTCTCAATTTATATAGCAAATATTTTCTAAAAGCGGATAAAGCAGATTTTCCAGAAACATGTTTAATCCTCCAATTAAATGTAAACTTTAGAATGTATGTATGTATTTAAGTAGGCCCACACCCAGCACAGAGCCTAATGCAGGGCTTGAACTCACGACCATGAGCTCGAGACCTGAGCCAAGATCAAGAGTCAGATGCTTAACCGACTGAGCCACCCAGGTGTCCCTAAATCTTAGTTTTTAAAACCAGTAGGTATGAAGTGGTTTCACCACCTAAGCATATAAATGTACTATCACTGTGCCCTGATAAAGACTCATTAATAGTCTGTAATTTGCCATACAGAGTACATCAGCCAAACTCCTAGAACAATCCTCTAGCAGAAAGGGCTGACTATACTATCGAAGAATACAGTTTGCAACTTGGCATTATTTCTCAGAAGGCAAAGAATATTTTATGAGAAGATAAACTATGTTCACTTTAAACTTGGAGGAGGAGGAGAGAAGAAGAGAAGAGAAGGAAGAGAAAGAAAGACAAATCAGAGAAGTACTCCAAAGTAGAAGCTAAATGATTTACTCTGATCCTGAAATGTGACAGCAGTTGTTTCCTTCAAGCCATAAACCTCTCTAGCAGGTTCATTTATTCACAAGGTAGCTTTAAAAATTACTCCCCAGGTTTGATGATTTTTCAAGCCTCTTTTTTCACTTGGTTTTAGTTTTTCTCTTTTTACTTATGGAAAAGTAAAAAAAAATTAATGCACACACACATATTCTGAAAGATGATGACTTCATAGAAGAACAAAAGATTGACGTCTGCTCAGGATCCTATGCTGTGATTGCTCCTGTAAGTACCATTTTTCTGGGAAAAAGGGGGGGCTGTTTTAAACCCCCCTACACCTCTACAAAAAATGGTTTTTTAAAATCTCTACTATGTTGTAAGACAATTCCATGCATCTTATAGGTCCTAAATAAAATTTAATTGATGACTGTGATGACGACCTAGAACTAAAGTCAGGGTGCATCAAGATTATTTTTGTAGGCTCAGCATGATACCTGTTTATTTTCTGCCAACACCACTCAATCCATGCTCTTTAATCCCACATGATTATAGGCAGACTGAATATGGTCAGCTGCAGGAAATCCCCTCCCCACTCTTCTTTGCTCTTTTCTATGATGGACTCTGCAAGCTTTGGAAAAGGAGAGAACACTGAAAAAGGAAAAGAAAGAAGAAAAGTATGGCAAAGGGCCCCCTGTGCTACGCTGCGGGTTCTTTTCGCCTGCGCCCATTCCTCTTCCCTAGTCTAACTCACCATAACTTTTTAACCATCCTGAAAGGGCAAGTGGGAAAGTAAAAGAGAATAGATATCCGTGGGGGTAAAACCATGGTTTCCTCTCTGTTTCCCCCAGTCCAGCCCCAGAGGAGGGGAAGAAGGCAGGTGAATTTTGCTTGCCATACCTAAGGAATTTCCAGATTGTGCGGTGTTTTGTGGCCAGCCTATGCAAATCAGACCCTGGCCCAAGGAGCTTTTTTCCACTTCATTCATCTCTTTTCCCTTTGCCTATACGTCCTTCAAAACCTAGCTCAAAATCACAACCCCCAATACCTTCACTGATCTTCTCTGCTAGAAAGAAGCAATCTATCGCACCTGATACTTCGGTCAATTCGACTGATATATACAACTGTCTTGGTCTTACCGCTTGCTTCCACCTCTTATCTCCCCTATCAGACTGCATTGAGTCTGAGAAGCAAGGACTGGACCTTAGTTCCCTGCACACAGTAAGTGTGAGTTAAAAGTGAAACTTACAACGCTTCTATTCATATGTATGTACTTCGTAAGAAATTAGTCTATTGTTCTTTTGCACAAAAGTATGTATTTTCACACAGTGTGTATGCAATGTCACAGAATAAAGGTTTTGGCTTGTTCTGAGACTATAATGAATGTTCATACAGACATTCTGTGCAACCTTCAAAAAGCCAGCAACCACAATCAAGTGTAGTGCCTTCTATAACCTTCAGGGGAGGGGGGCTGATCACTCTGATTAAAAATTAGCACTCTATCAATATGTGGTTCAGATATAATCAATCATCCCCGGTAGTTACTGAAGCCAGAAATATTAGGCATAATTATTTTAGTTCAGCTTCAAAAACTTGATTAGGACAGAAAGATTTATATCATCACATTCAAATTCCAAATTTGCAGGTGGCTAATATATTGTTTTATTCAAAAACCAAGAAGTTTAACCACGTGACAACAAAACTTCATTTAATTAAGAAACTGTACAGGGTTTTTTCCCTTACACATAAACCGTGTGCAGGGCAGAAGTCCAAAGGTATCAAGCTTATAAAGTTCAAGTCTGATTACTCCTTGTGACAAAACATATCGAAGATTAATTCTTAAAGCTCTTGTTAAAAATACACTCAGAGAAGGGAAGAGTTGTTTCTTTTTAAAACTATGACCAAAATTAATGCTTTTTTTAAAAAAAAGTAAACCACTTTTTATCAAAACACATGAAAGGAATCATGTTCTAATTTAACGATACATTCTGCAGACCAAAAAGCCTCCCCAACACATTCCACCTAAGCAATTAATAAATTAGAAACTGTAAAGGTTGGAAAGGCTGATTCAAACAAAGTCTTCTACACCAACGAGTACGCGGGTAGGAGTCTTTGCAGAATCTCATCAGGGAGTTTAGTGATTTGGCAAAGGTTCCTTCTGAATGGCTCATTCAGGAAGCAAATGATCCATTATCTTTGCAACAGAATTTTTCCTGTAAGTTGTGTGACTAATCCTCCCACGGTCTGAATTTTGCCCACTATACACCATGTTCTTGTCCAGCACAGTCCCCACACATTCCACTCATTTCTTATTCAGGTCCTCAGAGCATATGATGTGTTCTACCAAACACTAGACTGTCTCGTGTAGCTACTAAGTTAATGCATAGAATGCAAAATGGAAACAAGATAAAGCGAGCTCCATCATTCTGTAACATATTAAAGATTCTTAGAATAGTAAAAACAGAAAGACCAGCAGAAGAGTATTTACACAAAGTTAGCAGCCTACATAGCAAAGTCCATTTCACAACAAAAATAAGAGATGAGACATTTTTGACTATTTTCTGTACATTAGGTGGCCCACTGTGCTGACTCAATGCCCACATCATTTTCACAAAGACTGGTCTTTATTTAAGGTTAAACATCTTAAATTGCTTTCCCAGAAAACTATAGCCTAAGACCTTTTCTCATTATCTTGTTTACTTTGTCTACTGTCTCCATTAAATATCTTAGTTAGTAAAAAGATTTTGCTATTTTGTTTTTTTTCACTGGCAACAAGGTTTAGACAAGAAACTGATTTTCCTCTTCTTACCTGTGATAATCCCAAATACAATGAGGATTTCTACACTGTGTCTAAAGCCCTGGAGAATAGATTTAGTGCTACAACCCAACAGTCTATGAAAACAGGCTGTTCTGGAGGTAACTTCCTAACGATGAAAAACACGATCTGTAGGCACTTTCACCCAGCAACTACTGTGGTTTTCCTGTCAATAACTGAAGAGCTGATTTTTATCTTGGAAATGTATCTAACCTCATTAGTGCTACCATATATCAAATAAGTTAAAATTCACCAACTGATACAACAGAACAGAGTTTTCACATCTGCCATTAAGCACTGATTAATTTATCCACTCATCACTAAATCAATTGTGCAGCTATTATATGCAAACACTAAAACCAGACACTAAAGAAATATAGAAATGTAACAAACAATCAACAAAAACAAAGCTCCTTTCCTTAAGAAATTTAGAGTTTAGGGGCCCCTGGCTGGCTCAGTTGGAAGAGCATGTGACTCTTGATCTCAGGGTCATGAGTTTGAGCCCCATGTGGGGTGTAGAGATTACTTAAATAAATAAAACTTAAAAAAAAAAAAAGAAGAAATTTAGAGCTTAGCCATAGATAACAGGATACAGTATGTGAATAATCTTTTTAAGTTACAAAAGCAGAAAATATATTACGGATATTCATGGCATGAAAACATTCATTCTAGCTTAGAATTTCTGAGGCAGGTGGAAAGTGATGGGGGGAAATTGCTCAAAAGAGGAGGCAGCTGAAAGATTAGTAGATTCAGGCAAGAAATGGACACAAGCAGAGATGGATAAGGACATTTCAAACAGTGAGGAAAAGTGTATGAAAATCAACAGATGAGAAAGTATAGACTGTAGTCCCAGTACTTGAGTCTAGGGTACAAAAAAAAAAAAAAAAAGGAGGAGGGTGGGGCGGAAGAAAGAGAGGAGGTATGGAACATCTAAGATCTTCCACGAAGGCTTCTGTGGAAGGTCTTAAATGCTAGTAAAGGACTAGATTTCACTAGGTGGGCTGTAGAGAACAGGAGTTCAGTTCAGAGCAGCAGAATCACGTGATTATGCATCAATGGAGCCAATGCAGGAGACCAAATTTGAGGAAAGAGAACCCAGAGGCAAGAGAGGACCTCAGAAGACATTTAGCAGCCCCAAAAGGAAGGCAGAGCTACCTGGGAGAGTGGGCATCCAGGAGGGACACATGAGGAACATATATTTGATAGAGCAAAATGTGAACCTATTTGGCATCACATATTTCTTGTCTTGGCAAAATAATGGGAAATAAAGCATAACCATTTTTTCAGAAACATGACTGAAGAAGTAATATATGGTCAACATGTTAATAAACTGAAATAATT